GTGGCTCACAAGCTTGGTGAGGGGCGGAATCCAACTCCCTCTTCTGACTTCAGCCATCAACCTCACACACACAGCGTACACTCACAACACATACTCTCTTTAATCCCAGCACTCAGGAGGCAGAGCCAGGTGGATCTCTGTGAGTTCGAGGTCAGCCTGGGCTACAGAGTGAGTTCCACGAAAGGCTCAAAGCTATACAGAGAAATCCTGTCTCGAAAAAACAACAACAACAACAACAACAAAACCACATACACTCATACATATGGATTACATATATAGTTAATACATATAAATGTTATATAAACTTTTCACTTTTTTGTTTCGTTTTATTTTAAGAGACAGAGTTTCTTTGTGTTGTCCTGACTGTCCAGACTGGCTTTGAACTCACAGAGACCCTCCTGCCTTTGCCTCCCAAGTGCTAGGATTAAAGGCATGTGCCATCACCACCCGGCTAAATTTTAAAAAATAGCATTTCACAGTGTGAAAAACAATGACTTCATGTCTATGAGTAAAGGAGACTAGGTGGACAGCAACACACCCATTCCTGGGATCTTGTGTCACGCTTTGTTTTTCATTGTATTTATTTGTAATTATTTTAATTTTGTTTTCTGTGTATGGGTGTTTTGCCTGCGTATGTGTGCACCATGTGCACAGTACCCCTGGAAGCCAGGAGAGGGCATCGCCTAGAACTGGAGTTACAGACTGTTGTAAGCTGCCATGTGTGCTGGAAATCCAGATCCACTGGAAGAGCAACACTCGTGCTTAACCACTAACCCATCTCTCCTTTTACTACTCTTCGAAGGCATTAAATGGGTGCCATTGTATTCATTTCTAGGGATTTTTTTCAAGTCTCCAATGGCCTCCCGAGGGCTAATGAGATAACTGAGGAAACTATAAATGTAAAAACAAATATCATTTTCATCCCATGTCTGAATATATATTGAAAAGCTACAGAATTTGTGGACAAAGAGGAAGAGACCACCAAGCAAGGGGACTGCACTGAGCAGACTGGACTAAGGTCGCTGAGTAGGGGCAGCTAGGGACAGAGTGTTTTCATGTTTTACATTATATACTTCATTACTTTGCTTTTTAAATTAATTTGTTTTGAGACGAGGTTTCATTATGTAGCCCTGGCTGGCTTGAAACTTGTTATGTAGACTAAGCTCACATCAAACTCACAGAAATCCACCTGTCTCTGCCTTCTGAGTGCTGTCATTAAGAGGTATATGCCATTACACTCACCAAATTAATTTATTTTTAAATTTAATTACTTTTATTCCTCTGTGTGTGTGTGTGTGTGTGTGTGTGTGTGTGTGTGTGTGTGTGAGTGTGAGTGTGCATGTGTACATACCACAGGGTGCTTGTGACAGTCAAGGTCTTCCCCAATGTGGACACAAACCCAGGTCAGCAGGTATCTTCACCCACTCAGTGGTTACATGGGCCCATACTTTGTGATTTAAGTGATGAAGCACCCATTTCATACATTACTCATTTATTTATTTATTTACAATCAAGATCTCACTATGTAATTCTGTCTGGCCTTGGCCTGTTCCCCTCCTGCCAAGCCTTCTAAGTTCTGGATTACAGATATGTGCCACCATGCCAGGCTTTGTGTCTTCGTATCTTAAATTCAAATAATTAGGTAGCCCACTGGCTCTAAGCTGCAAAAATCTTTATGGGTTTAGGTTTCTTGTTTTACAATTTCATGCCTGGCTAAGCTAAAGCGGAATGCCCTATGCAAGTATAGACAATTCTTGGCATTATTGAGATAAATCCTTCCCTCTAAGCCTGTCATCTGGGCATCCTAATCGGGGGGAGGGCAGGTAAGAATTAGATCCAAGTCTTGGTGGCAGAACTGATAACTCCTACTCTGAATTTCCATGAGGGATTTCTGCCTCCTGGGGAGGGGGAGATGAGGAGAGAGCTACTGGGATGCAGAGACTGTGATGTGTAACAGCTACACAGATACAGACACAGACACAGACACAGATGATGCAGATACAGATGCAGGTATAGACACAGATACAGATACAGATACAGATACAGATACAGATACAGATACAGATACAGATACAGATACAGACACAGACACAGACACAGATGATACAGATACAGATGATACAGATACAGACAGATGATACAGATACAGATGATACAGTTACAGATGCAGATATAGACACAGATACAGATACAGACACAGACATAGACATAGATGATACAGATACAGGTACAGACACAGATACAGACACAGATGATACAGATACAGATATAGACACAGATATAGATACAGATACAGATGATACAGATACAAATATAGATACAGATGATACAGATACAGATATAGTTACACAGACACACAGACACGGTTACACAGACACGGATACACAGATACAGATACACAGATACAGATACACAGATACAGATACAGATGATATAGATACAGATACAGATGATACAGATACAGATACAGATGATACAGATACAGATACAGATGATATAGATACAGATACAGATGATACAGACACAGATGATACAGATACAGATACAGCATGTGATGATGCAGTGGCTGGAGAGATGGCTCAGTAGTTAAGAGCACTTACTCTGCTTGCCGAGCACCCAGGTTTGGTTCCTAGCACCCACATCGGGGGGCTCACAGCTGCCTGTAACTCTAGCTTGAGGGTACCCAACACCCTCTTTCGGCTTCCGTCCTCATCCATACACACCTGCATGGACACACGAGCACATAATTTGACAGCCATGACCCCCAGACACTCTCTTGACTCTGGATGGGTGAAGCCATTCTCCCACAAAGGTGCCCAGTCTGCAGCTAGGAGCTCTGTGCTTGAGCTCCGCAGATTTCTTAGACTCACTGTTCTTGCTTGATGGTTCTGTGGTCGTTTGTTTTTGCACTTGTTGGATGGGTGTGTTCCGCATCAACAGTGTTCTAAACTGCAGGAGGTTTGAAGCTCACTGAAAAAAAAAAAAAAGGTTGAAGACACATACCCTCCCTACCTCCATCCTACCCTTCCCCCAGCAGCTTGCTTAGCATATAAACAGAGCTAAGCCTTGTGTATAGTTATCTAAAAAGTTGGTTGGTTGCAGAGGCAGCAGAGCTAGGTTTGAAGCCTGACTCCACATTGTCCAACTGTGTGACCATCAGCAAGTTTCTTAACCTCTCTGAATCTCAATTTCTTGATCTTCAGAATGGATATGATGATAGGCCCCTTGTGGGGTTACCCTGGGGAGCAGAGATAGTACAGCAGAAGAGAATCACCATGGCTTAGCTCTGGTTTATAACATAATGACTGCTGGGACTGGGAACGCCTTAAGGGACAGATACTATGTGAATACCTGGCTTATTTTCCATTTTCACCTCTCCTAGAGACTACCAAATATTATTTATTTATTTATTTATTTATTTATTTATTTATTTATTTATTTATTTATGTTGAGATATAACTTTCCTATGTTGCCCAGGCTGGTCTTGAACCCACAGTCCTTCTGCCTCAGCCCCCTCGAATGCTGGGCTCACACATCTTGGTACTGAGAGACTATCAAATATTAAGTCTCAAACCCAGGGACAAATGGCGGAGGTGCCTATTTACTATATCAAAGTGGACCTGGCCTCCAGGTTCTCCCAGCAACCCTCAGTCCCTACCTGTTTCAGGATATGACTGGCATACTCCTCCCTCTGCCCTGAACTCTCCAGTCCAGGGGCTGGGCTGCCCTTCCCCCAGCTGCCCTTTCCTGTATAATCCTACCATTTTAGTTACCCTCCCCTCTTTTACCTTTTGACCTCCTGGCTCTTGCACCCGGTGTCCCCCACCCCATCCCCACACTCCCACCTCCCCACGTGGCTCAGGGTCATGTCCACTCTGGACTCCCCGAGATGTCTCTGACTCTAGCTACGCTCTCCCTTTTATCTACAATAAACTTTCTCCTCCACCATACCTAGGAGCAGTCATGTTCCTTTCTTTTTATTTCTTTTTTTTCTGTTCACCAAACACTACCTAGTTTAGGGCTAACACATTTGCTAACTGCTGTGATTTCAATTCTACTGCGTCTCTGGGACATCCCTTGCTTTTAAACTGCTTTGCAAGTTGTAACTTCCAAAGTAACTTATAAGTAACCAATAAAGGTGAAAAATAATTCCTTCCTAGATTTGTAAATTCTTCCTGCGATGAATTCACTTACTGCTGGATTCATTGTTCACCATGTGAGAGGTCAAGCGCCCTTGTCCCTCATCTGCAGACAGGTCGATATAACCCAGGCCTGAGGAGGTGGACAACATGTAGCATCTCACTCTTTTTTTAAAAATTATTTATTTAAATTTGTTTTAGGGGTTGGGGATTTAGCTCAGCGGTAGAGCACTTGCCTAGCAAGCTCAAGGCCCTGGGTTCCGTCCTCAGCTCCGGAAAAAAAAAGTTATTTTATATGCATTGGTGTGAAGGTGTCAGATCCCCTGGAATTGGAGTTACAAACAGTTGTGAACTGCTATGTGGGTGCTGGGAAATGAACCCAGGACCTCTGGAAGACCTGAACCAGTGCTCTTAACCGCTGAACCATCTCTCCATGTCTGCCTTCATTCTTTAGTAAGGAGTTAAATGGTCTTTATCAGTGAGTTTCTGTGGACAGCAGCACTAGGTCTTCAGTTCCCTCTGTCCGATACCATTAGCCTTCATTTCTGGTTCAGAGGCAGGCAGAGAACACTTCCAGATCCTAGGAAGCCGGGCTTCAAATCCTGCGCCATCCTGGGAGGGACACAGAAGAAGGTCCTCATTCCTGGGCTCAGTCTGGCAGGCTGTGAAATGGGCTCATAAAGAGTAGTGACCCCAGAAGTAGCGCCTGTAGCCTCCTCCCCCACTTCTCTCCCGGGGGTCCCAAGACCGACGGTGGGGTCGGTGGCTGGACGGGATGCTCTGGTGGAGAGGTGGCCTTGAGGATGGGATTCCGGGCTGAGCCTTTTCACGGTGGGGCTTCGGGAGGGGGCGGGTTCTCTGGAACCAGAAACCCGGAGCCGCCCAGGAATTTTGGCTCGGACTGCATTTCCTCGGGCCGGGCGGGCGCGATCCCGGGGAGGTGGCTACGGACCGAGAGCTGCGTTCGGTGGCTCCTCGGTACCATGCAGCCGCTGCTCTGCGCGATGGCCGGGCTCGCCCTGCTCCGCGTCGGGGCGGGCGAGTGGGGTCGGGGACCCAGGGACACCCCCGGACAGCGAGGTAGGAGTAAGAGAGGACCCGGAGACAGCTACCGGGGAGAGGTGGAGGGAGGGAAAGGTGACGGTGACAGAAAACAGAAACACGGGGACAGAAAAGGGAAGAGATGAAGGAAGGAGATACATAAGAAGAGAGGGGAGGCTGAGAGCGGAAGAGGCTTTGAAGATAAACGCGTGCGGACGAGGAGGGCTAGAGACCGGAGGTGGAGAAAAGCGCAAACAAGAAGGAAAGAAATGGGAATGCAGGAAGAATCGGGGGAAGAAAGATCTGGGGAAAGGAATGTGGCAACCGGATGCCTAGGAGCGCGCGGTCGGCCAGGGCGGAGTTCTGGTTGCAGGGTGTGGCCGCCCTGGGGCCAGGGCATCCAGGGAAGGGCTGCAAAGGGCGTTGTCATGAAAAGGGGGCCTGAAAGGGTCAATGACCCAGGCGGGGCCAGCACCACCGTTGAGAAGACAGATGGAAGAAAGGTACCGTCTCACCTGCCTGGAGGCCCGGGGGCTCTGTAGTGAGGTGAGGAGGCCATCTTCCAGGTTCCCAGAACCGTCCAAGAGCCGTGGCTCATCCTAGCTGTCTAGGCGAGGATGAGCTCGGGCCTCATAGGGCCAAGGCGGACCCAGCACCAAACCCCAGGCCTCTGGCTCTCTTGGGTTCTTGCTCCAGCCATGCAGAAAAGTCTGGCACTAAGACCGAGGCTCTGGCTGTGTTTCGAGGCCCACGAAGAGAAGGAAGGAGTAACTCAGATCGTTAAAGGGAGTTCCTAGGGGTGAATCGCTTTATGTTTCACAGGCTGACTTCGGGGAATGTAAGAAAGGACGTGCCCACCAGTGAACATACAACACTAGTTCTCTCAGACCATCAACCCCTCTAGCCTCAGTTTCCCCATCTGTTAAGGAGTGACTGGCACTCTGTGTAGCTCAGAGTCAGCTCACAAGGCACAGCCTCTTAGATGCTCCTGTCAGCTCTACATGGGTGGCAGAGATGTGGACCAGGGCTCGGCTGGTGCCTCCCAGAGGAAGGAGCTATCCCTGCTACGGATCACTTTTCTTGCCCCTTTGAGCCACAACCCGTTTTAAACATTGCTTTCCTTTCTGATGCGCACGTTCATTGCAACAGACAGGTTAAAAGGAAAGTATAGATGTACCCATGTAGCTGAGAAGTTTTCACTTCTAACCTTACAGACTTCAGACACAATCCCATCACTTAACTTTCGGAAGATATTTTCAACACCTTCATTGTACATACTATGGGGTACAGTTTTTCTATGACTTTTGACTATGAAAATGTTTGGATTAAAAAAATAGAATTTAAGATGACCGTGTACCTAGATTACTATAATGTAATTATACTATAATTAAGTATTAACTAAGCAATCTCACCTCTGCTGTCATCCTTGGGTTATTTTAAAAGAAAGTCCAAGCACTGTATTTATTTGTTAAGTTTTTGTTGTTTGACAATTTCATACATAAGATGAATTTTGTCGTTGTCACACCCCTCCCCCAATCCCCCTTCCCCTTCCCTCACTGAAACTTTCTTCTGAGCAAGCCCTCTCCCATTTCCATGTTTTGTTTTGTTTGTTTTTGTTTTTCGAGACAGGGTTTCTCTGTACTTTTGGTGCCTGTCTTGGATCTCAATCTGTAGACCAGGCTGGCCTTGAACTCAGAGATCCACCTGGCTCTGCTTCCCAAGTGCTGGGATTAAAGGCGTGCGCCACCACCGCCCGGCCCATGTTTTCTTTTTGTATGTGGCCCACTGAGTTAGTTAGTTCCCCCTTTTAAAACATTTATTTTATGTGTGCCTGTCTAAGATTATATACATGCACCACATTTGTGCTCCAACCCGTGGAAGTCTGAAGAGGGTGTTGGATCCCCTGGAACTAGAGTTACAGGTGGTTGTGAGCCACCATGTGGGTGCTGGGAAATGAACTCAGGTTCTCTGCAAGAGCAGTAAGTGCTCTTAACTGCTGAAGCATCTCTCAGTTCTGCAAATAAGGTATGGGGCCCAGCATCTTATATTTTATCTATAAACAGAACTGCAATGCTACAATTAATAATAATAATAATAATAATTCTTTTTTTGTTTTTCTTTTTTAACTTATTTATTTTTAATTACACTCATGATATTCATTAATTACACTCATGATATTAATTACATTTGTGGTATTTATTGATTACATTTGCATTATTCATTCCATAATTATATTTATGATATTCATTAAATACATTAATTGTATTGATTTATTACATTCATGGTATTATGTCCTGATACTCCTGTCCATTTGTGGGTTTTTTCCATCACACAAAACAGAGATTCTGTACTTAGGAAATCATTGCTCTATATTCCTTTCTTCTCTATCTTGAGATAACATCTAATCTTTCTGTCTCTATGAATTTGTATATTCTATATATTTCATGTAATATAATTCTATAGTATTTGTCCTTTTTTTTGAATGTAAAAACATTTTATGTACAACTGCAGGAGAAATAATATACAGATAGCTTGAACATAAAAACAGGTTATAATTTAAAAGTCCAGGATTATTTTAAACAGTAAAATATTTTCTCTGTAGAAATTAGTATAAATGATAACGTTTCCTAATAAGCCCTTTTAAGCCAAATAATAGCTGAATTATACATATAAATATTGATTAGATTCTGGGATACAGAAGAAACCTATCTTCATCTGTTCTGAGAACTATGTTTTACTTAAGTTGTGTGAGATTCCTATTCATCTTCCTCTTCACTGTTTGATTTACGGCAGACATTTTCCTATAGGCTAGTCCATAATCTAAAACGATTTGCCGGTTGTGGTGGCGCACGCCGGTAGGATTTGCTGAAGGAGGCGGAGGCAGGAGGATCACGAGTTTGAGGCCAGCCTGGGCTACACATTAAAATTATAAAAAAAACAAAAACAAAAACAAAAACGATTTTAGCCTCCCCTCCTGAAAGTACGGCCAGCATTTTCTTTCTTTCTCCCCCCGCCCCCGCCCCCCGGAGCTGAGGACGGAACCCAGGGCCTTGTGCTTGCTAGGCAAGCGCTCTACCACTGAGCTAAATCCCCAACCCCACAGCCAGCATTTTCTTTCATCAGCTTGGTACAGTAAAAATTTTATCCTAGTAGTGAAATGTTTCACTAAAGCTTACCCAGTGATTGGGCAAAAGCAAAACTTATTATAAGCCACAGTCATCCTAGTGTCCCCCCTGCTAGGTAGCCTCCCTGGATCTGTGGGTTGCAGTCTGATTGTCCTTTGATTTATATCTAGTATCCACTTATGAATGAGTACATATCATGTTGGTCCTTCTGAGTTTGGGTTACCTCACTCAGGATGATATTTTCCATCCATTTGCCTGCAAATTTCATGATGTCATTGTTTTTCTCTGCTGAGTAGTACTCTATTGTGTATATGTACCACATTTTCTTAATCCATTCTTCAGTTGACAGGCATTTAGGTTGTTTCCAGGTTCTGGCTATTACAAATAATGCTGCTATGAACATAGTTGAGCATGTATCTTTGTGGGATGATTGAGCATTCCTTGGGTATATGCCCAAGAGTGGTATGGCTGGGTCTTGAGGTAGATCGATTCCCAATTTTCTGAGAAACCGCCATATTGATTTCCAAAGTGGTTGTACAAGTTTTCACTCCCACCAACAGTGGAGGAGTGTTCCCCTTGCTCCACACCCTCTCCAACATAGACTGTTAGTGTTTTTGATCATGGCCATTCTGACAGGTGTAAGGTGGTATCTCAGAGTCATTTTGATTTGCATTTCTCTGATGACTAAGGATGTTGAGCATTTCCTTAAATGTTTTTCAGCTATTTGAGATTCTTCTTTTGAAAATTCTCTGTTTAGCTCTTTAGCCCATTTTTTAATTGAATTGTTCAGTATTTTGATGTCTAGTTTCTTGAGTTCTTTATATACTTTGGAGATCAGCCCTCTGTCAGATGTGGGGTTGGTGAAGATCTTCTCCCATTCTGTAGGCTGTCTTTTTGTCTTATTGACCGTGTCTTTTGCCCTACAAAAGCTTCTCAGTTTCAAGAGGTCCCATTTATTAATTGTTGCTCTCAGTGTCTGTGCTGCTGGTGTTATATTTAGGAAGTGATCTCCTGTGCCAATGTGTTCAAGAGTACTTCCTACTTTCTCTTCTATCAAGTTCAGTGTAACTGGATTTATGTTGAGGTCTTTGATCCACTTGGCCTTGAGTTTTGTGCTTGGTGACTTTTTTTTGTTTTTTAAGACAGGGTTTCTCCGTGTAGTTTTGGTGCCTGTCCTGGATCTCGCTCTGCAGACCAGGCTGACCTCGAACTCACAGAGGTCCACCTGGCTCTGTCTCCTGAGTACTGGGATTAAAGGCGTGCATCACCACTGCCCGGCAAAATAATTCTTTGTTATTGAAACATTCCTTGAGCATGACTTGTTTTTTGTTTGTTTTGTTTTGTTTTTACATTTAATTTGTTTGATCCAAGCAAAGGTTACCTGGCTGGTTGAATTTAATTGATATATCTGCTGTTCCTTCAAATGTGTAATCTTTCTCTCTCCATCCTTCCCTTCATTTTTTTCTTGAAATCAGTTGTTGAGAAAAGTTTGGCTCCTTTAGATTTTTCTTATTGAATTCCCTGGGTGCCATTCAGTAATTCAGTGTTCCTCTCCTCCTGTATCATCTATAAAATTAATGGCTATAGAAAGACAATTGATCTAATTCCAGTTAGATTTTCCTTTGGAAAAAATATTTTCTAAATTATAGTTTTGGAGACAGGGTTTCTCTGGGTAGCCCTGGTAGCTGTCCATGAACTCACTCTGTAGACCAGGCTGGCCTGGGACTCACAGAGCTCTGCCGGCCTCTGCTTCCCAAGTACCAGGACTAAAAGCATACACTACCACACCCAGTTATTTTTAATATATTTTTTAAAAGACAAGATCTCTTGTAGCTCAAGCTGGTGTTGAACTTACTGTGTAGACAAGGATGACTTTGAACTTCTGATCCTCCTGCCTCCACCTTCCTGGGATTA